GCCTGCGCGTCCGGAGCTTGTGCTCCACAACGGGAGAGGCCACAGCAGTGAGAGGCCCACGTACCGCAAAAAAAAAAAAAAAAATGTTAAAAAAAAGTTAGTCATATTGGATAGGGTTTAGATCCAGGGTAACTTCCAGTATCAGTCTACAGATGAATATAACATCAATGGATATAACCATCATATGTCTGTTGGGTATAACAAATAATAATTCTGTGATTTTATTTCAGGATTCTCTGCAAACTATGTTAATTTGACAAATAACATACCAGGGACTAAATAATGAAATACATGGTAGAGATATCTGGTGCTCACTCATAAAGCATTCTCACTCCTGAGCACATGGGAAAACTAGACTTCTCTTAACCTCTTGCAGTTAGTTAAGACCATGTGACTGGTTCTAGCCAATGAAATGTGAACAGGGGTAAAAGCATTACTTCCAGGTCAAAGTATTTACAACTCAGTGTGCCATCTCCATGGTCTCTCGTCCTCCAGCTGGGATGACCCTGAAGCCACATATAGAGATGGTAATGTCACAAGATGGAGGGAACCTGGATTCCTGATCAAAAGACAGGTCTGCAGACATCTATCAAGATTATTATTAGCAAGAAATAAACATTTAGTGTATCAAATCACTGAGATCTGGTGTTCCTTCATTCATACAGTTAGACATGTTAGCTGACATACAAAATTGTAGTCTAAAATAGCAAATTCTTTCTTCTACTTTCATTCTTATGATGACAATACATATGATTTTTCTATAAAAACTCTTTCTTGCATCTCTCAAGGTTTACATGTTTCCTAAAAGCATTCTAGGTGTTAATACCACCCTGTTTTATATTTATCAACTATACTCTTTGCTTATTAGCTGTGTGACCTTCGGCACGTTCATAACCTCTCTGAATCTCTGTTTTTTCATCTGTAAAGTGGGAAGAGTAATACCTTCCTTGCAGAATTGTGGTATAGTAAATATTAGAAATAAAGTGTGTAAGCCACAGTGCCTGGCACACAGTAGTACTCAATATAGCAGCTATATAGATAGTAACCTTCTAGAGCGCAGAAACCAAGGCACACCTCCTGCCCTCTACTCCCACGTCTAGCACAATGCCTAACACCCAGTGTAAACAAATATTTACCAAATGTTACTACGAAGAGGATACAAAATAAAATATAAATCAAATTAGCTAAAATAAATTCATTAAAGAACTTTTTAATGCTACTAGCCTCAGTTGAACCAAACTGCTCCCTTCCCTGGTATCACTACACACACACACACACACACACACACACACAGAGAGAGAGAGAGAGAGAGAGAGAGAGAGAGAAGAAGCCATCTCTAATAGCAAATGAAACTTGCTAATTCAACAAGTAGTAGACACTTTAGTAGTTTGCCTAAAGGAAGTGCTAGGTTTTAGACAAATTTGCCTTAGTGAAATTTACTTGGTGAAATCACTCTGAGCTCACCTGATCTTATAACCAGTTGACAGTGCCATGGCTAAAGATCATGATAAATCATTCCATTTAATTTACATCAGATTGAGTTATAATATGCAATGTAAACACTGATTTCCAAGACTAGGAGAACAGCTAAACCAAACTCGGTGGAAATAATTTTCACATTTAGTTTCTGGTAAGTTGCTTTCTCATCCACTTCAAAATAAAACCCCAAATAGGGGGCTTCCCTGGTGGCGCAGTGCTTGAGAGTCCGCCTGCCGATGCAGGAGACGCGGGTTCGTGCCCCGTTTCGGGAGGATCCCACATGCCGCGGAGCGGCTGGGCCCGTGAGCCATGGCCGCTGGGCCTGCGCGTCCGGAGCCTGTGCTCCGCAAATGGGAGAGGCCACAGCAGTGAGAGGCCCGCATAACGCAAGAAAAAAATAAATAAATAAATAAATAAAACCCCAAATACAATTGCGTCCTTTCATAAGCCTCTTTACCTACAACACAAACACAACTCATAACACATCCTCCAAATAGCATGATGGTTCCGCTGACAATGGACCACATCCACGGACTCTTCTGTGACTAATGTAATATTTCTGCACTGTGTGAGAAAAACATTAGTAGCAACCCTTTAGTGAAAAAGTATGCACCTCAGATTCCTATGTGGAATGATTTGCTTTTCTCTACAGAAGCACCCCTGACTGCTTGAGGGCAAATCAAATATTCAACAATACCCAAAACCCTACGAGAACCCTTGCTCAGTTTGAAAAAAAAAAAGAAGCAGCAGCAGCAGGTTGTTGACTCTTTTAAGCCACACCACACAGGAAGCTAAAGGAGCAAACTTTAAGATAATATTTTTATTACAAGCACACTGAAGGTTTGATATAAAGCTACCAGAACCCAAGAAATACGGAAGCCTGGTAAGGGCAGGGAATTTATTGTGTCTCACTCTGCTCATTCCCCAATTTCATAGAATGCAGCAGGCACTCAGGAATGACAGGCCAGGAAAAGAAGGGCTGCTAGTGTGACTTGTCTACTGTGAGGCCCTCCCAACGCTGCAGAGAGCTGGTTCCTTTTGTTCCTCTTATTCTCATATGAAAGATGAGAAATAGCTAATGACATAGACAAAGAATCCTCATTTAAAAAAACAAACACATTTAAGCAAGGCACTATGTTCAGTTATGGAGCTCCCAAGAACTGGAAGGTCTCACAGTGTCTCTGAGTGTAGAGGTAACGGCTAAGGACATTGGCCCTGGAGCCCGACAGCTTGTGGCAAGTCCCATCTCTGCCACTTACTACGGTGCGACCATGGGTGTTCTTAGGCTTTCTGTGCCTTAGTATCCTCATTTGGAAAACACAGATGACAATAATAGTACCTCATAGGGTTTTTGTGAGGATTAAATGAGTATGTATCACTTAGAATGATGCCCAGCACAAAGTAAGTGCTCATCAAATGCTTATTATTTTAAAATATGATTATTTAGGGTTACAATTTCAGCCTCGGGGCTGAATTTTGTCCCATTGGCAACTAAATGGGTATCAGGCTGCAAGTATTTGGTATACTGCCACCACAGTCACTCCTCTTTAAGAAATAAGAAACCACAAGTTTTCTCCTTCTGCCATTGTCTTTTATTGACCCAGGTGGAGTGCAAAATGAGATGCCAGTGAGCATCGACTCAAATGTAAAGGCACTGCTCCTAAATGTTGAAGCAGCTGACCTGGACTGAAGACAAGAAGAAAAGCATTACATATTCTGGGTCAAAACTTGGAGAGGTGATCCACAGTTATATCAGCAACTGTTGTTCTACAAAGATCCCAAGGCAATTAAATGGAAAGAATATTGTCTTTTCAACAAATGATGCTGGAACACTGGATATCAATGTGGAAAAGAAATGAGACTCAACCCTTCTCTAACACCAGATATAAAAATTATCTCAAAGTGGATCATAAACCTACACGTAAGATGTAAAACTATTAAATGTCTAGGAAAAAAACAAGAAAAATCTTTGTGACATTAGGTTAGGCCAAGACTTCTTAAACTGTACATCAAAAGCATAAACTCTAAGAGGAAAATATTGATTAACTGGATTTCATCAAGATTATATATTGTTGCTGTCTGAAAAACATAGTTAAGAAGATAAAGTGGCTATCAAACTGCAAAACGTATAACTGATAAAGGGCTACACTATTTAAGGATCTTTTACAACTTAATAAAAGGAAGACAAATAACCCAATTTAAAAACTGGGCAAATTATTTGAACAGACATTTCACAAAAGAAGTTATAGGAATGGTCAAATAAACACAGGGAATAATATTCAACATCACTAGACACCAGAGAAATGCAATTTTAAACCACAATGAGACACAATCACATATGCACTAAAACGACTACAGTTAAAAAGACGGACAATATCAAGTTTGGGCAAGGATATGGAAAAGGGGAACCCTCATGTATTGCTGGTGAGAGTGAAAATGTTCCAGCCACCTTGAAACACTGTCAGCAGTGTTTCACATACATTTACCACATGACCCAGCAAGTACAGTCCTAGGTATTTACACAAGACAAATGAAAAGCATATGTCCACAGCAGCATTATTCATAATAGCCAAAACCTAGAAGCCAAAACCTAGAAGCAACCAAATGTCCACCAAATGGTGAATAAATTGTGATACATGCTTACCATGGAATACTACTCCGCAATTTTAGAAACAAATTATTAATACAAGCAATAACATAGATGAATCTCAAAAAGATTCTGCTAAATGAAAGAAGACAACATACCAGACTCTATACTCTACCATTCCATTTATATGAAATTTCAGAAAAAGCAGAAGTATAGTGACAGATGGCAGATTAGTGTCTGCCATGAGCAAGAGGAGACGGGAGGGCTTCAAATTCAAACTTTTAGGATGAGGAAACTTTCCACTGATTCTGATGTTGGTTACATCATTGTAAACAATTAGCAAAATTTTCAAACCTGTGAATTTAACACAAACAAGCAAGCCAAGATCACTGCTTCTGTAAGTTCTTTGGGCACACGAGAAGAATACATAGAATCTATTTGTAAGGTACAAAGTACATATACATGTACACACTTGGTTATTGATAATACCAATTCTTTCTTGAGTATTCAATCAGACAAGGTCTTTAAAGAGTTATATTGTTTTAAAAAGTGATGGGCAGGCAACATCTTTGGCTGCCATTTGGAAAGTTACAAACTAGAAGAGGTCAAAGTGAAAACTTTACAAAGTAGGAAATTTCCAGGCAAACAGCCCTTTGTTCTTCAAAAATAGTTAATTTTAAGACTAAAACTAAAACCAGTCAAGGAATCTGTCATCTAAGAGGCAGGAAAACGGAAATATTCCTCCACACACCTAGGCCAATGGTCTAATAAAACCCGTTTATGAAGAAAGATGCAGGCATGTTTTAAAAAAAAACAACAAAATCTTAAACTCACAGTTGAATTCACTCATCCCACTTAAAAAGCCAACAGAGAAAACAAGTTAGGTGGTTTTGGGTTTCAGTTCCAGCTGCTGATGTAAGAGCCAGGGACTCACCTCTGTGTTTCCGTCTTTGAAGCTCTCGCTGTAAGTACTGTCCGGGGTGCTGCGCTGATCATCCTTGAGGTAGGTGCTATGGCTGGCCACGGACGGCACACCATACTGAGTCTGTTCAAAGATAACCACGCGTTGCTCTTCACCATCTCCCCGGGGATAGTGCACAGGTGGGGCCGTGAAAACCGGCGTGAAATCTTCGGCCTTCACCACTGTGATTCCCGCCATGGGGATGACGGCTGGGCTCTCAGAGACGTTCGTGCTATACTGTTCCCGTTTTGAATTCTCCAGGTGGTCTTGATTTAGGGAAAGGTTCACTGGAACAGTCTTTAGGACCTGCACTCGGTTTTCTCCTCCACTCAAACTACTCTGGGCTCCACTGGTGCCAAGACAGTTTCTGTGTGTTTAAACCCACACCCCGCAACAGAACAGAATTAGAAACATCACCCTTCTGCGACTCCTAATAACTGATGTAAGCAAGAATCAGTGGATGCTAATGCATGAGGGGGAAAGCTGATGGCAAACTTTACAACGGAATGCAACGAATCTTTGTATCACTAGAAGGAGGACAACTACACATATGTGCCTCCTGGTATCATGCAATGAGCCCCACCTAGAAAGTGCTATTGCCCACCCCACCCCCCCCCCCAACTATTGCCCCCCCCCCCCCCCCCCCCAAAAACAGCTGACTCTAAATCAAGCAATCCTTTACATCTAGCTTCCAGTTCTTAGGACATATGGGAGCTGGAAGAATAATTTAAACAACATTGAAAAGAAACAATCATACAAACCAGAATGTCACACATCTTACTGACCTGGTTTCTTCAATAAGTCAGAGGCATGAAAAAAGAAAGAAAAGTGGGACACTTGTTCTAGGTTAAGAAACTTAAAAGACATAATCAAATAGGATTAGCAGATCTTGTCTGGATCCTGATCTAAAAAACCAAAAAGGCACTTATGAGGCAGTGGGATTTTTGAGACAACTGAATATGAACTGAGAGGTAGCTGATGTTAAGGAAGCACCGTTAACTCACCTAGATGTGATAATGATTTTGAGATTAGGTAATAAAATGTCTTTGTTATTTAGAGATACAAATCATAAGTTGTTAGAGGTGAAATGACGTAAAGTAAGCCAGGAACTTATTTTGAATACTACTGCAATAAAAATTTAAAAAGGAAGAAAGAAAGAAAGAAAGAAAAGGTCAAGTTTAAGTAGGTGTAACACAAAGTTATCAGTGCTGAACCCGGAGGATGGGACAGGTATCTGGGGGTTCATTATACCATCGTCTTTATTTATGGGTATGTTTGAAAGCTTTCAGAAGAAAACATTTTAAGTAGCTTTTTTTTAAAAAAGGTGGGAGCAGGACAATAAGTTAAAGGAAGAGAGTGGGAAGAATATTTTTCACTCTTCTGCAGGCTAAACTCCTTGCAGGAAAAATAATACAGTGAGAGGGCTTCCCTTGGTGGCGCAGTGGTTGAGAGTCCACCTGCCGATGCAGGGGACACGGGTTCGTGCCCCGGTCCGGGAAGATCCCACATGCCGCAGAGCGGCTGGGCCCGTGAGCCACGGCCGCCGAGCCTGCGCGTCCAGAGCTTGTGCTCCAAGACGGGAGAGGGCACAACAGTGAGAGGCCCGCATACAGCCAAATAATAATAATAATAATAATAATAATAATAATAATAATAATAATAATAATAATAATAATAATAATAATAATAATAATAATAATAATAATAATAATAATAATAATAATATAATGAGAATTTATCATTAGAATATTTTCACTAAATTGAGAAGTACCATCAGCTCATTGATGTCCTTAGCACTGAATTACTGTCGGGCCTTAAGGAAGTGGTGTAACTGGGCTTACGTAAGACAAGATCTCTCAGATCTCAGACCTCCCGTGCTACAAAGAGAAAGGAAAGGATTCAGAAGATTAATTCTTGCCAGTATAAGATGAAATACTTTCATCTATACTATAGAATTCTGGGAGAGAGCAGAAGCAAAGAGAAACTTCTTACGAAAAGAGCGTTATTGATAGCAAAATGATTTTACTAGCAAAGTCCTTGTGGTCAGTAAGATTTGAGGCCACCTCTTACTTATTTATAGATTATTCTGAATGACACAGAGAGAAAATGCACGTTTTGCATGGAGTCCCGTTCCCAATGTCTGTTTTTTTAAAACTAGCATGTGCTTTCTGGGGCTTACAGCCATCTCTCATCGAGAGAAATATTTGAATAAAATTGGTTCTTCCAAGAATTGAGCTCTCGTGGCTCCTCTCTGTAAAGGAAATCCACTCGCCTCTGAGCTTGCCTCTCAAACAGGACTCGGTATTTTTAGCTTTGATTTTTCAAATAAAACTTCAAAGTGAAGCTTGAGGAAAGAATGGCTCCACATGAACAAAGCCAACAGAAAAACACCTGGACCTCTCTGAGTCAGTCCCAGACCTGTAGAAATCATTCTAGAAACAAACCCTTTAAAGAATGAAATCGTGAGTCTGTAAACATTCTGGCTTTAAGTAATAGCCTGCTATCATGGCTATATCAATACAATGAATCTGTATCTAAGACACAGTGAAAATTTAGAAATTATGTTCAATCTGAATCCAGTAAGCTGATGATGCCAAAACCCAGGCCACCCATTTATATCAGTATTTCCTAAACCTTATTGTTGAGAACATTGCATAGAATGTTAATATATGTTCCTCAAAGAAAGGAGACCATAATAAAATCAGTATTAAAAAAAAAAAAAACTGCCTAAACAAGACCACCCTGGCGGGTCACAGTCATGAACACAGTAAAGGCCCCCAAGGGTTCCTCCACTTGTTTAACTGTAATCCAGAATTTCTCAAACTCATTTTATCCGGGACCCTTCTGTGGAGGAGTAACTACTAATACTTGTGGGTGTAGGACGGTTGGTCTACGTTCATTAGCTACCAAAGCAATTATCCACTTTCGGCACTTCTGGGCTTCACACAAGCACGGCCTTACTGGCTTTGCCAAAATATTCAAAATTAATCAACTCCTCTACAGTTAGAGTCCACTTCAGTCCAAATTTCTTAAGTCTTGAATTCATGCAAAACACTTGGATTCTAAACAAGAAACACACGTCAAAATATTTTTGGTGTGCTTATAGACAAATAAATAAGCAAGCTAATAGAGTTGTGCAAATCTAGTTGAATCGTCACTACCATGAGACAAGGGAACAACAGACTCGGCACCATCCTATAATGTGTAACTGTGCCTCTACGGAATAGCACCGACTTTAAAAGCTGATGCCAGAGAACTCTGGAAGTCATCCAAAAAATGGGCGAACAAAGTAAGAATTATTGTGAGATATACTGACTCACCTGCAATAGAATTTAAAATTGAACCAAACATTATAATGTGAGAAAAAAATGCAAGGCTAAGAATGGTTCACTGAAATATACTTTTAAAAAATTTGGGGTCATGACATTGAGATTACTTTTCAAAGTGGCGACTTCTGTATACGAACATTTGTAATGATATCACGTCAGCACGTGGCACCTTAATTCATGAGTACATTGCAGACCAAATGATATCCTTCCAAATTACATTCAACCGGAAGTCTACTAAGTCATCATCAGTCCATACAAGGTGGTTTGTCTATACCTCACCGCCAGTTTTTTTTTAAGGCACTCCATTGCTATCACAAAAATGGCCTTTAAAATTCAATGAGTGGCTATCAGTCTTTAACGTTGTTCTAAAAGATACTTTACCAAAACATGGGCTCTTTTGTCTATTATGATACATACAGAGCACACATCTTAGATTCGTTCCCCTCCCCACCTCCACCCCCCGCGCCTCCCCCAACTTTTCTGTGATTACTGGTATAGGTCTTAGGAGACAGCACTTGCTTAGCCTAATAAATGCTGGCTGGATGGAGGAAAAGTTATAGGACCTGAAGAGCATCAGCCTCTTTCTCCCTGTCATCACTGCTACTCACTAGTGCCCAGGGCCCCAAAGCAGCATAGAGCATCAGAAGATCCCTGTGGAGCCACAAATCAGATGCAGACAGCCTTGATCTTCTGCTGGGCATGTGCCTTAGAGGTGATACACAGCACAGGGCCACTGATTGGCGGGGTGGCCCCCACTGCTAGTCGTATGACAAGATCACAATGTCACAAGCAGTTCCTATCAAGGCCAGGAAAGATTCTGACATGCGTTTTAGCAGGAGACTTCATTTCTCCTGGCTTCGCGTTTCCAAGTGGAAAAACCCCCAACAGAAAAGCACTGTGGCTTCTCCGCCCCTCTGCAGGGAAAGAGATG